CAGTATAAAGTAGGTACAATTAACTCAATGCTGTCCAGCTACAACATTTAATCCAGCATAGCAGTTCATCAGTAATAATAATCCATTTATAACGTAACACTCTGACAGTGGCCATTCTCCTGACTAATGAGTGTATTTTAAGTACATTTTGCTGCTAATACTTCTGCTTAAGAAGAATTATGAATGCTTAATGAATGACTTAAAATGGATGCTTTTTTTTACTACTTATGTAAAAGATCACAATACATCTTCCACCGCTGAAAGTTACATTTGTGTACGCTGGATATTAAAATTATTGGTCCATAAAATTGAGCTGTAGTGGAAAATCAAACCTGAAGACAGAACTTTATCTCCTGGAAACTTTTATGATCACGCTGTAAAGATCAAACCATGAAAACTAATTTTGTTAGACAGCTGGCTGCTTCATGATCACTGAACTGCCTCATGGTAAGAAGATTTGCTCACACCACCAAATCGATGTGTAGATTGGGGGGGGGGGGGTTCAAATAGAGCAGAGGGAACTTCAACCAGTGGAGCGAATAGCTGTGTGTGTGTTTGTGTGTTTGTGTGTGTGTGTGTGTGTGTTTGTGTGGAAGGTGAACTGGCAACGTAATATGGTCGTTGTGGACAGACTCATTTCAGCAGGAAATTACAGCTATCTGTGTGGCTGTGTCCGGAGGTTGATATTCCCCATGCAGATTGCAGAGTGGTGCCCACACGGGGGATGTCTCCATAGCCACCAGAGGGATTGATTTATCAGTCGTCTCAACTATTGGTCTGTAGCTGTTGTCAGGTCATCCGGGAGACATCGCCGTGACGACTATGAGCGTTACCTCGTGAGCACGTGTGTCTGACCTTCTCCATCTTTTTAAAAAAAAGAAGAAGTTGGGCTTGCTTAAATAGGATATCATCAGTCGTTGAATCAATTGCTCCCACGAGAGGGATTTTAACTGTTCAGAAAAGGGGGTCGGTGATGGATGAATGTGCCTCTCCTCCCTTTATTCCTCCCCCCTCCAACCCCCAAATGTACTGCTTTCATTTCCCAGTAGAGGCCATTGGCATGAGAGCTGGTGACTCATCCACCAACTTAACATGCACTCTTCCCACTCAATCTTTTTTTTTTTTTTTTTTACTCTTAACTTTTCAAACCCCAGTTCCCTCATGAGCCCTGCGCTCTCTTCCCATCAGTTTACCATTAGTTTTGCATTAGTTTTATAAATCCTCATGATTATTCTGTGGAATATTTTTTATCATTCAGTCAAACTCAACAAGCCCCTCATAGACCGTGTGTGTGTGTGTGTGT